ATAAATGAAATAACAATCAACATGGAAATCAACTGGAGGAGGATCTGACATGGGCTTGGGCCATGTCGCTGGTGATGATGGCAATGCACATAATACTGACGATGCAGCACCTCGCAATCCGCTCAACAGATCCTGCCATTGGCCTCTGGAGCGAGACCTACATCGTAGGTAGTGTTGCTTCTCTTCCACCGCGGCGGCAAAGTTCCAATAAAAACAAAACACCGGCCGATAACGCCGCAGAATCAAGCCACCACAGTTGCAGCTCTACAAAAGGACCGAGCGGAGGTTGCAGGGGAACGATGATATCACCGCCCTTTCAGGAAGGTTGGGTGAAACTCTGCAATTTACTGTCCAGGACCGCAGCGAGGACCCCGCTGCTGGGTGACGACGGTTCCCCTCACTTGCGAGAGCACAAGCAGGATTGGTGCCATCAATTGCTGACATTGCACAATCCCGATCCCTATACGGTTTACGGCAGACATGCATCTTATGCTGTCTGTTGAATCGTGCATGGATGCAACCTGGTTACCATGGCCTCGGTGTGACATGAGGTACTAACACACTGGAATGAGGCCGAGGGCTCCTTCTCCACCGCCGCCATGTATATAAGATGTTGCACAGTGTGTTATGGTCCCGCCTGTCCGTACGTAGTAGCCTTCTCTTGCATCTGTCTGCTGAGCGAGATTCCTCCTCGTTGCTTCAAGAGACACAGAAAGCACCATCTCGTTGCACGAAACCATGAAGTGGCCTACTGCTTCCTGGGCGCTGGCAGCTCTCGCAGCCTTGCCTAGTGTCCTTGCCATTGACCCCAAGGGCCTGCTGGCTGCCAATCGCTACTCCGGCGCACTCCCAAATCCTACAGGAGTATGTACATGCCATCTCGAAAACAATCAGGGCAGCTGAATATTGGAAAGTCTAACCTGGTGCCGCGATAGGAGTTTGCTCTGTTCACATCGACAAATTATTCCTGGGACGCAGGCAAGGCCTCAAGCGTTTGGAACGTCTTGAACTTAACCACTGGGGACATCAGTATCTGGAGACCTGCTTCTGGGATCTCCGAGATCGTGTTTATTGGCTCCAAGCCCACCAGCATTCTCTACCTCAACGGTTCCAACGAGAATGGCGATGGAGTTAGTCTTTACACATCTGATGTCGTCAGCCCCGACAGCGCTACGCTCGTAGCCTCTTTGTCCGGTGACTTTTCTGGTCTCAAGGCTGCTCAGACCAAGTCCGGAGATATCAATTTCTTGCTCTACTCCAAGGCTTACCCCAACGGAACTGCCTACAGCGAGGCCACTGCTGTCGCTCCTCGAAGCACCGCCAGAATCTACGAGGCCATCTATGCCCGTCACTGGGTAAGAAATGAATTGGAACATCAAGTAGACCTGGCTGCTAACTTCACTGTGTAGGATTATTGGTTGTCAGAGGTCAAGCAAGCCGTCTTCGGTGGTGTTCTCACCAAGAATGGAGACGCATACTCCTACGGTGGCAACTTGACAAACTACGTGACAGGAATCCACAACGTCACGTTCGCTGAGAGCCCTCTGGACCTCAACGGAGCTGATGACTACGATCTCTCGCCCGACGGAACCAAGATCGCCTTCCTGACCAAGGACGTCAACTTGCCATTGGCCAACTTCACGAGCAGCCAGATCTACTTGGTGCCCTTTGATGGCACTTCCAAGGATGCTGTTCCCATCAACGCCAGAGGCTCCACCAAGTACCCCGATGCACAGGGTGCTTCTGCCAACCCCAGATTCTCTCCTGATAGCACCAAGGTCGCCTGGACCCAGATGAACGGCATCTACTACGAGTCAGACCGCTCCATTCTCTACACCGCCAAGGTTGACGGTGACTCCTTTGATGTGACCCGCCTTGCTGGAGACTGGGACAGATCGCCTGGTCTTCCCCTGTGGTCCCAAGATGGCAAGACTATCTTTGTCGACGCACCGGATCTGGGCCGTGATCGTGTCTTCTCAGTTCCTACAACTGCCGGTGACGACTACAAGCCCAAGAACATCACGGATGAAGGCGTGGTTGCTGCCTTTTACAACCTCCCAGAGGGAAAGCTCCTCATCTCCGACTCCAAGATTTGGACCAGCCGTGACATCTACACAGTCTCCACCGATGGCAAGGATGCGAAGTATTTTCTCCAGGCCAACAAGGTCGATGATGCCCTTGCGGGACTTGGACCTGAGGATGTTTCCGAGTTTTACTACTCCACAAACACATCCGAGATCCAGCAGCAGGCTTGGGTCATCTACCCCGAGGGTTTTGACAAGACCAAGAAGTACCCTCTGGCATACATCATCCACGGTGGACCTCAGGGTGCTCACTACAACTCCTGGTCGACACGCTGGAACTTCAAGGTTTGGGCCGATCAGGGCTATGTAAGCGCAACCCCTTCCCTGGAATAATGACGGTATTATCGAAGAGCAGCACTAATGAAGCGTCCAGGTCGTCATTGCACCCAACCCTACTGCTTCGTCTGGCTGGGGTCAAAACCTCACTGATGCCATTCAAGGACGCTGGGGAAGCTACCCGTTGTGGGACATTGTACATGCCTACGAGCACGCCAAGGCCAACTTCGACTTCATTGATTTCGACCGAGCTATCGAGGCAGGTGCCAGCTTTGGAGGATACATAACTAACTGGTAAGTCTCATCGACACACTCAAACAGCTCACCGTTTTGGAAACCTCTCAGATCTCTAACTTTAATCGAAATAGGGTCCAAGGTCATGACTTCGGACGTAACTTCAAGGCCCTCGTTACTCATGATGGGTCCACCTCCACTCTGAACCAGTACGCCAGCGAGGAGCTGTGGTTTATGAACCACGACTTCAACGGCCCATTCAACTCGAGTGGCGTGAAGCCAGGCTCCCCTTACTACGACTGGAACCCCATTAACTACGTCGACAACTGGGCCACCCCTCACTTCGTGATCCACAACGACCTCGATTTCCGTCTGCCCGTAACCGAGGGAATTCTGCTCTTCAACTTGCTGCAGGTCAAGGGTGTCCCCAGCAAGTTCCTCAACTTCCCCGACGAGAACCACTGGGTGCTGAACCGCGAGAACAGCTTGGTGTGGCACACTGAGATCTTCAAGTGGATCAACTACTACAGCGGTATCAGCAATGCCACTAGCCCATACTGAGATAGCTTTCAGCCCTTGAAAGGCGGAAAGGATTATGAAGAGAATAATGAATAATAGAATGTCCGTTTAGTACACTTAATTAAGCCAACACCCAAGTTGAATGATGCCTAAGTGAATGTTTCTTTTTGATTGGATGAACTGGTTTTCAGATGGAGTGAGTTTTCGAAACTGCATAGGGAGTTTCCTAAGATATTCTCCAAACTCAAGGGGGTGCTAGTACAATCAGGCTTGTGAGTTAGGGAGATGTTGGCTCGGCAGATGTTTTGGACAAGGGGTCTGAGGTTGCGTTTAATCCTGCTGGACGTGACAAAAAGAACGCATACTCTGTTCGACTGAAGGAACAGACCTGAAACGTCTTGGTAGCCAATGGGTACACGACTAGCTACCGGTGGCTTGGAAAGTTGGTCGATGGATACTACATCAGGGTGGGTAACCACACAGGTTTTCTTTGTCAAACTAGGAAACAAAGACTAATAATGTTCCAACTGCGCTATGCCGCTCTTACTCCATTCGCAGACTCAACAAACGATAATGACTGGAGCTTCGAGACTTGGAATATCAAAATTTTCTGGTTAGTGGAAGTGAATAAATCCTAATCCGCGCAGTTAGTTGAAATACATGAGGTGCATCGTATTCCACTTCATAACAAATGAAACTTACATTTTGGCACGTTCGGACAATCAATTTCATTAGATAGCATTTAAACAGCTACAAAGAGGTCATGGCTGATAACAGTCAGTTTAAAATTAAAGTACTATAATTCGTTCATGAACAAGAACCATTGCCGGGCCAAAAGTAATGTCATACGGGTCGGACTCTAGTATAAAATCCGCTCGTAACTCTCATCCAAGCCGACTTTCAATTTTCAAATCTAGTTTCGATGAATACATACCACTCTGGAGTATTTTTCCTCACCCTGACGACTCATCCGCCCTAGAGCCTTTAGCAAATTGAGACTACGGAGGTCCATCATCAAACGCGAGCGACTATATACAAGACTTCTTACGGTCGATTGCTTACTGACTGGGCAAACAAGAGTCTCCCTATCGAAACACCATGTGCTCCTCGTTCCACGTGCATTACGTCTGCGGATGTGCGGCTGTCTACCGTGTTGTGTCCGGGGGCTGTGCTGGAGATTGCCCAGAGCATCCCCATGACCCCTCCCGAGATATACAATTGGACTTGCTCTGCGGGAGACATGCCCCGGAGGCGCCTCCCACGCCTCCCAGAACCCCCCCTGGAGTGTGACTCAAACGGAACCGAAGTTGAGTGCGAATCATCCCTATAGGCCGAGCTTTTTTTTCCGGGGCGGCCTGATAATCTAACCCGCAAAGGAGCTGCATGAAATGCTCCAGGGCTCAAAAAAAGATGTGTTCTATATGGGGTGTTTCGTTTGAAAGCCCTGAGGTATAGAAGTGGCAAGGAATGTTGGTTATCAGACCTGAATATACAAATTTACTTGAATTCTGTCACTTCTAATGTACTGAACACACTGACATGGCCGAGCATGGCGGCGGCAGACTGTGAGGAGATGCAAGGAGGGTGAGTCTTTTTTCGGCTCATGGCCAGAGATAAGAGCCAGCAATGAATGAGGCCACTCCATTACCGTGACCACCCTGATACGACGCTCAGTGCCGTTTTTGGTAAGCTGAGGGCTCTTCCCCGCCCCGATGTTACATAGAGCTGCCTTATCAATCGAATATGTAGCCATGTGACGACTCTTTATCAATCGGCCGATCCCCGCGTGCTTTTTGTTCTGTTTTCGTTTGAAATTATCTATCAGCATCTTGGTTTCTTCATTTGGAGGGTTGTTACTTATTGATAGGCAGAGAGTCAAGTAGTATTATGGCATCTATTCTTCGATTTATCCGTGTCAAGGGCGATGACAGGCACGGATACGAGACGACAAAATGGATCAACCCCGACATTGCGCCTTTACCGCCGCATCGTCGGACGTGGGGTTATCTGGCCTTCTTGGGATTTGGTTCCATCGCCAAGTAAGATCACTCTGCTCAGTGTCAACATCGTGAGGAGACTATGCTGCTTGTCGCTAGGAGAAACCAGCTGACCTAGGCTGCACTCTGCCACAGTCTCTGCATCACAGCCTGGACAGGCGGCTCCTCCCTTCTGTCTCTTGGCCTCACTGTCCGACACACTATAGGAGTCATGTTCGTGTCCAAAGTCCTCATGACGCTTCTAGTCATAGGGAATGGCTGGATGGGTGCGGAATGGCACATTGGGTTTACCGTGTCACAAAGGTTTGTAGTGTGGCATCTAGGCTTGAAAAGCTTCTCTTTTTAATATGCATCTTGCTAAATTCTAGAGTAGAATGGTTCTGGGGATGAATGGCGCTTATATAGGCCAGGTTATCCGAATCATACTCTCCATCGTATGGTACGGCTCCCAGGCCTGGCTTGGAGGCCTTTGCGTGTCCGCCATGTTGAGCAGCTGGAGTTACAGCTTTCTGACAATGCCCAATACCTTGCCAGAAAGCGCGAAAATGGTGACCAGAGAGCTTATTGGATTTCTTATTTTTCAGATTATTTCCATCCCCGCGCTGGTGAGTCCTTTGGGTTCTTTGTGCACAAGACTGCAGCTAACGTCACTCCTTTGTATAGCTGATACGTGTTGAAAGAGTCGCACTGCCTGTTACGATTGCAAACATTATCACATTCTTTGTGATGATGGGCATAACTATATGGGCCTGTACAACTGCTGGGGGCCCTGGTCCAATGTTTACCGAAGGCACCACCCAGGCTGCGACTCTGTCTCTGGGATGGGCTTGGGTTTATGGCATCGTGGCATCGGTTGGAGGGATCTCGGCAGGAATCTTGAACCAGTCTGACTTCACCCGTTTTGCCAAAAAGCAAGGCAGCCAAGTCCCAGGCCTGATCTTCGCGATATTTGTGCCTGGCACGATCGTGCCCATATTCGGGATCCTGACAGCATCAGCGACCATGGCCATATACGGCGAAGCCTTCTGGAACCCACTGGTGCTCATTCACCAGTGGATGATAGATAGCTATGACGCGAAATCACGAGCAGCAGCCTTCTTTTGCTCCCTGGGGTTCGTGATCAGTCAGCTAGCCGAAAACACTCTTGGGAACGGGTACGCGGCCGGAATGGATCTTGCAGGTCTCTTCCCGAGTTGGATTACTATCAAAAGAGGGGGGATCATATGCGCCCTTCTCTCCTGGGTAGTCCAGCCATGGCTATTCTATAACACATCCTCGGTATTTGTCGTGGTGATGGCTTCGTTTTCGGTCTTCATGGGCCCACTGACTGCTATTATGCTCGTGGATTACTTCATCATTAGGAAGCAGCGCGTTCAGCTTAGCCAGCTCTACACGGGCTCGCCAGAAGGATCGTACTGGTTTACAGGAGGATTTAACTGGAGATCACTGTTCGCATGGGTCGTGGGCTTCGTTCCTGGAATGCCTGGAATGATTGCATCAGCTAATCCGAGTATTCCTGTCAGCAAAGCTGCCCATGAATACTACCTCGGAAATTATCTTTTTGGTAAGTTCTATTCTATAACTCAGGATCTTCTTTGTGGTTCAAAGGTGATCGGCTAACCGGACCAGGGTTTATCATCTCGGGCTGCCTTTACTATATCCTTTGCTTGATCTTCAAGGTTGAAGGAGCAGGGCTCCAAGATGAGGCTGATATCTACGGCACGTTCTCCTCAGAAGTCGCGATGAGCAAAGGGATCACCCCATTCGAACCTAATAAGGTACCGGAAGACTCAGGTTCGGGGGTTCATATTAGAGAAGCAGCAGATCTTGAAGCTGAGGCAGCGCCAAAACCTTGATTTCATTGGAAATCGAAAAACGAATAGTTTCTGACGACTTTGTTATTTTCATAGGATCTATTTTTCTATCTGTCTACTCTATACTTTTCATCCCGTGGTATCTAAATCTACGCTTTTCTCGCAAAATCTAGCAGATCGTTGTGCGACTTTTCTAAAAGACCATGAAATGATATTACGAAGTGGCTTGCTGGGAATCGTGTGCCCATACGCCGGTATCAGGCGCCAAGCGGGCTACCACCAGAAGTAAGACTCCTCCTAGGATCTTGAAAAATGTAACTAGAATAGGCGTAAGTAATTATTGACATTTAATATCCCCAGGAATGTGCATCACTCACAAAAAGTAAAGGACCAGCCAACTCCAATACTATTCAGAAGTGGCACAACGGCGCCAGTAGCCGAAGCTCCAAAGACATACTGCAAGACATACTTGCTACTGACTACTTCAGCTCGTTGGTCGGGGAACACCTCTATTTCTTGTTAGTAATGAAAATTCTTACAGTCCAGGGGTGAGAACAAAGAGAGTCACGTACCAGCAGTGTACGTATTGAGCCCATTGAAAGCTCCCATGAGGCCAACTCCAATCCAGAAAGCCATCACGATAGGAAGCGCCAAACCGCCAATATTCTTCTCTAGACTCCAACCATATAGAAGCATGGAGACAGGCAAGACAATAAATAAATGGACCAGACTGCTGTTAAGCCGATCCTTGGGTAACCGGAGACCATCGCGCTTGGCCATCCATTGCTTCACTGTATGATCACTTATCCGGCCCCCCACCAGGCTTCCTATTATGAAACCCGCGCCCGGCGCGATATAAAACAGTCCACTGACGAGTGATGTCGTGAGATTAAACCTTGGATTGATAATGTGTCTGACTGAGGTGAGTAGAGCGTACTGCGTAATCGCCAGAAACCCACAGGTTAGATCGGCAAGAAGGACCTGTGGGCGAAAATAAAGCTTGAAAATTCGGATAGGGTTGAAACTCTGCCAAACTCTAAGGGCAGAAATCTTGGCATCACCATTCTTCTCGTACAGCTGCTTTGTCTCACTTTGGATATGGGGGATAAATGCGAGTGAAAGTACGAAGCCAAGGCCGGCTTGTGCGACTTGCAGCCAGTAGATGCTTCTCCAGTTGCTGTAGGTGAGAATAATACCTCCAATACAGGGACCTGCGGACAGAATTAGGTGACTCTTCTTTCAAAATCTCGCGAAAAAGACCATAAGATCCCTACCGATAGCCGTGCCGGCGACTGCCCCGACCATTTGGCAACCAACAGCTCTGCCACGAACTGTAGGCTTGAAAATGTCGGCGATGATGGTCTGGCCAGCCACCATGAAGAACGTCCCTTCGAGGCCGGAGAGCAAACGCATGGCGGTGAATGTACCCATGTCTCTAGCCAAAGCAGTGCCGATCGAAGCCCCAAGCAATACCAGCATGGCAAGGTTGTAGCTGATCCGCCTGCTCGTCAATTCGGCCAGGGGAGACCAAAATAGGGCGGAGCATCCCATGGCAATCAGCAGTCCAGCGTTGCCGGCGTTGAGAATTTCGGGTGTCGTATTGAGGTCAGAGGCAATTTCCGGAGTTGCGATGAGCAGCGAGGTGCTGGTCGAGGTGACCACCAAGCAGTTCCAGCTAACGATGAAAAGGATCACATTTCTCTGCCATGTCCTTAGCACGGTTCGTGATTGCTCGGTGGGCTGAGCGCCGCCCATCTCCAGGCGGGAGAGATTCTTAGGGGTCTGGTTTGACGCCATGATGGATGCCGGTTCTCATTGAAGTTCCAAGAGCCGCATCACATCCCGTCTTTCTTTTTCTTTATGCCGGCAAATGAGAAAGTTTGGCTCTTCATGATTTAGGTTGCCGATCGGCCGAGTTTAAATCGGCGTTTTACTCTGGCAACGGCGCCGCTTCTCGGAGTTTTGAGCACGTACGTCGAAGCTGGCCCTGATATAGGCCAATGGCATTGAAGAGAAAGCATTTTACGATAAGATCTTGCTTGTTCGGGTTGATCTTCTAGTGATGTTATATGGATCTATTTGAAAGTGGAGGAAAATCCGGGTTATGGCCGGCGCACTGATCCGACAACATCCAGCCATAGGTTAGAATTGCGTTGAACTATTAAATCCAGGCCTCCGATCTCGGGCTAGCAGATAGGTAGCACTTCGGCTGGCCAGGTCATGCAAAGAGCGTCTAATAGTAAGTCATGTGCGTAGGTATTCACAGTCATCTCTCTGCTTATTATCGTTAAGCGAGAGCCGGCTCTGGACATGTATATTTCCTCCAGGCGTGCCAGGCGTGCAGTTTTTTGAAATTCGAAACCTATCCGAGCTAATAATTGCCATGACACGATGTCGAAATTGCGGTATGTCAGGGCCTTTTGATTTCCGTAGCATTCGGAGAATTGAGCCCGTGTTGGGGGATGATGAACGAACTTTACATCTGCTACCCGAGCCCCTTTCTCCTGCCTACTCTTATTACTCTCTTCTAGCCAATGAGACAAATCCTAAACAGACGTTTGTTTAGGCACGCGCTCATTCGGGGATGACGGAGGGAAACAGTCAGCCTGCAATTGCAACGAAATTGCACGCTGCGAGAGACTCCTTGGCGGCGCGTTCTGGATCAATGCCAAGTCAATGAATGGAAATTCTATACGAGACCGAGCTGACTGTTGACTTATGAAACAATTCTTGGCAGGGGTACTGTCATTTGAAACCCCCGTCGCCCCTCATCATCAACCCACCGCTCATAATATTGTTTGGGACAGAAATTTGAGACGCTGGTGGGAGTGGCCAGGGTTAGGTTAGTAAGCTTCTCTCTACGGCAACAACATACCGAAGACTGCTGGCCATTCTCTTGGCTTCGAAACCGTGGGTTGTGTATTTCAGGTGGCCGCCATTAGCGAGACGGTAAGCGACATGAGGCCGCACATGGGGGCCAGTCAACCAGCCCTGTCTGAGGAGCATCGTACGTCGCGTGGAGGAATCTCGTGGTAGCCCGCTGCCATGGACCATACTCAGAAACGTTCTTGGCCCGATCTGGCCGTCGGCGTTGCTTCCGTTCTGACTCTTTTGGTTCCCCTGAAACACCCTCAACAAGAGTAGCGAAGATGAGAAGAAGGCAGCACAAAGGATAATAAATATACCATCGTGGCCGGGGCCATTGAATTTGTAGCCTTTTCTTCTTCAGAGATTGTGGGAATTCGCCTTTCATTCCTTCGTTTGTTGTTGCAGCATATTCATTCATTTGAACCTATTTGACCCATCAGGATGCGGTCTGTTCTTTCATTTTTCGCCCTTTGCGGCTCTTTTGCTGTTGCACAGCTGAGCTCGACCAACCTCGAGAGCTACGTCGACGTTGCTTCTCTGTCTGGTTCTGTGAACCCCGTCATTGAAACCTACTGGACTGGCTACCCTCACCATCGACGAACCCCCTTCGCCCTTTCGCCCGACGGCAAGTCGGCGTATCTAGCTTACCTCGATGCCTCAAGCGGGTCTGATGTCATCGTTCAACCCATCAACCCCTCGACATTCGAGGCCACTGGCACAGCCGTCAAGGTTGCGGGAGCCAAGGAGGCCGGTGGCCTTGTAGCTCACGATGATGGATTCGCCCTCCTCACTACCGAGACAATGCCCACAGGAACAAGTGGCGCTCCCGCCGACTCGACCCCTGTTGCTGTTCTCTACCGATACACCGGCGGAACCCAGACGTGGAAGACCTGGCTGGGTGGTCCCAACGTCGACAGCTCGGACAGCCTGGCAACCCCCGAGATCAACGGTGACCTCGTCTTCTCCGCCACGGCTGGATACTACGCCGCCTATATCGTCGTCACTTCCTATTCCGGCAGCGCCTCCGGCCACTTTGGCGATGCCATTCGCTATGTCAACACTGCAGGCAAGCTTGAGACCATCCAGGGTGCTTCTAGCTCTTGGGGCTGCAGTCACAACACTGGTATCGCTTTCGAGGCTGCCGACGAGCCACCCTTTGCCTCCCTCTGCGCCGAGGATCAAGGTGCCATTTGGCTCAACACGGAGACTCAGGGTATGGGCAACAACGGTGTCAAGGTCTCCAACGAGCATGTGATCAACGGCGGCAGTGGTGAGCCCGTGGGTGGAACCGGCGGATCTTACAGCAGCATGGCTCGCTTCCAGAGCTCAGACGCGTACATCTTCTCCTGGGTCTCCCGTGGTGCTATTGACTTGACCCTCAACGACTGGATGGGCTCTGGATACACCAAGTCTGTGAACCGCACCAGCAACCGCAACGTCGCCATCGCCTTGTTCTCTGACAAGAAGACCCTGATCGGTGAGCAGGCCACATCACAGGTTGGCGCTGCCGACGGTGACTCCCAGATCACCTGGGTCACATCCGGCAACCAGGACCGATCTAATGCCCACGCTGCCACTTTCGACAGCAAGCAGGCCCTGGTCACATGGGAGCAGATCGACAGCCCCATCTGCGACTTTGATGCCATGGGTTGCCGTGGTGAGTTCTCCGGAACTTACTACCAACTGGTTGACAGCAGTGGTTCCATTGTCGGCGAGCCTATCAAGTCCACTGACACCTTCGTCGCCGGCGACATGGTCACGATGTCTGATGGTAGAATCTGCTGGCCCTATGTCAACATGGAGTGGCGTCTCGATGCCGCCGCACTCTCGCTCCCCAAGTCCACCAGCAGCAAGATTTCATTCGCCTGTATTAACCTGAGCGGCTCCGGCAGTGGAGGCTCAAGCAGCAGCAGCAGCAGCAGTGCCGCTGCTTCTCCCACTGATGCTGCAAGCACTTCTCAGGCCAGCTCCGCTGCTGCTGCACCTACCACCAGCCAGGGTGTAGAGTCCGGCGTCAACACTGATGTTCCCGTCTCTTCTGCCTCCTCGGCTCCCGCTCCCGCCTCATCTGCCTCCTCAGCCGCCCCCGTCCCCACCTCCTCTGCGACCTCAGCTCCCGTCCCCGCCTCGTCCTCGGCCGCGTCAGCCCCTGCCTCATCGAAGACCTCTGCCGCCGTTGGCTCCTCCCAGGCTCCAGTTCAACCCTCGAGCTCATCTGAAGCCGCTGTCATCACCCCTTCATCCACCCCCACCAAAGGAAGCTGCGCGATGAAGACCGTGTGGGAGACCGTGACCGTGACTGGTCCCGCTCCTCCGGGATATTAGGTATCTAGATGAACGGCGTCTAGTATACTTTTGATGGAAATTCTTCTGGCTAGTAAGAACAACGGAGATGGATGAGGAAATCAGGGTTGGTTATGTGTATGATTAGTAGAGAATGTTACTTTGACGCTAGACAGAAGCTTTTCTCTTTTCAAACGCGCATGCACCATGGTCCGTTCTGCTTTTACAATGATGGAAGTCGGGATTCCTTTCGTCCCCTTTTTAGGGTCTGGTTTATGAAAACTTTTGCATTTTCGAATGCGCACAATTTCACGGCGATTTAAGCATCAATCGGTATCAAAAGGTTTTTAACATATAGGGAATGAATGACAAATTGAATTTGAGCAAACTTTGATCCTTGAGTTCCTGTTTTACAAAGTATTCCAGTTGTGAGAATGAAACGGTTGAACGATTCAGTGTAACATACCAATTGGCCGTGAATGGCGACAGGATGAGAACCCTAGTCCCAACGGTAGTACATTTCTTAAGCCTCTGATAATAGATTTTGACAGTATGAAACCTTAGATGGGACTGATGATAGTCCCCAGCTTGCAATACGTATAATCACCAAGCAGGGAAGTGTTTCGATCAAAAAGCACATCACCAAAGTAAGAAGTTCGGCGGCGCAATTCAATTATAATATTAAAAATTATTCGCGCGGGTTATTCCTTCTTGGCCTTTCTAGCGCCGCTAGTGAGGATGTGAATGCATGCCATTAGTTGGTTGCTCTACATCTCTTGATATCTTGCTGAGCGACAGTATCAAGTAGCTGAATCAGGATATGTGTTGGTATTTTTTTATTCATATAACTTATCATGAATGAACTACGTCAGCACAAATTGAATACTATTAGACCTTTCAGCTTAGGGTAGTCAGCTGATGTTGCTTTTGGCTGGCACTGAGTCGGCCTGAATAGAGTAATGCTACCTTGAATCATTGACCTTGTCACAAAGTTCTGCCTAATATATTCAAAGTAGTGGTTGCAGATATTTCTGCTCCCAATAACTTGCTTCTTACCTAAGAGTCAGAGCTCAGCGTCGAGGAAAAACATACGATCATCAACTGACTATGCAAACTTGTATAGAACTCTAGGTCATTCACCCTTGGTAATAGAGAATAAGAAGGTCTCTGCAACTTCTCAAAAGATAGAATCCTCTCTTTTCACTTTGATTTCAAACCAAACTGCTCCGAAGAATACCGATTTTTCGACTTGTCGCTCTTGCTTTGGGGAGATAAAACGCATTTCCTTCTTCGAAAGTCGCGTTCTTCAAGAGGTTGTCACTTCTATTGTTACAAACCCTCAAGCTCGAGAATGGACAAGAGAAAAGAACCCAGCGCAGCCAAAAGCTCTCGTGCGAACACGCATCGGGAAATCGAACTAAAATTTGGCCCCTCTGATGCCAACATAAATAATAGAGTTTGGGGGGCCGGCTGCGAGGCGCCCAAAGTAACAGTTGAAGCTGCTTTTGGTGACGGAGCTGCAGGATTTTCGCTATGCCGCCGGCGCGATACTGGCTCTACACTGATAATTCGCCTTTGTCCGAACCTTTCTCGCCCAGAGGGCTTGACAACCCGCTTCAACGCGTTCTTAAACGGCGAAGCAATGCTTGAAAAAGCCGGCAAAATGCCCATAGCCAAAGAGTGGCTTCTTGCAATCTCAGAATTGTGGGAGAAGTACGAAATTTGTGCAAATGATCCATCAATCTTCATTAAGCTCAGTGTAAAGGAGGGGAAGCTTTTATCCGAGGTTGAACATCGACCTGCACTCTGGAAGGATTACGTCTGTGGCTTCCCAACACTCGCGGATGTGACAGGAAACAAGCCCAGATTTCCCGTTTCTGTTGTCGACTATGATGACGTTGTCGTCTATGAGCAACATAATCAGCGTCCCGTCAAGCTGGTTTACTTATTTTCCAGATCCGAAGTTGGTGAGCTTTATTTGTTTCATGGCTATCACTTCATGGATTTCTTGGGCGAAGTGGGCGGGCTCCCTTCTGCAAGGGACTGGAAAAAGACCTTGAAAACTCAGGCAGCTGAGCAGGCGACGTTTGTGCTAGCGAAGGCACCAGGGTTGAGAGGCCCTCGTGTTGTGTGCGCGTATCTTGAGCCTTGGGGCGAGTGTGTGGATGACTACCGCGAGAGGGTTGCCTTAGGTGGAAAGGTTTGGACAGATTGCTTGGATTAGTATTGGAATACTGAAATGCCTAAAGCGGCTTGAACACCTGGCCCATAGACTCATCATGAGGCCAGCCCTGGGACTCTTGATACTAGCGATCCAGTAGCTATCAGCAAATCATTACTTTCTTGTCAACAGAAACAAATCACTGGAAGGAGTGCTGCCTGGCCCAAATTGGAAATTTTCCAGAGAGCAACACTGGATGGTAGGAAACCATGGAGAACCCTGTATGAATTGGGTCCCCTTTTTCAACTAATGGACTGGTCCTAAAATGGTTCCGCCGGACCGCGCTCAACCCGCCGAGGCTATCGAAGTATGACGTAGGTACGTAAAGAAGCCTTGCTACGTTCTTGATGCGGCGTGGATTTGAGTTCATTTCATAAATCAGATATGCATCAGTGACATTCGTTTGGAGTACATAGGTGAGCGGTTTCTTGGCGGTGGCGGCCTCTGGCCACAAATGCGAGCTGGATTCACTCGAATCACGTATGTATTTTCCAAGCTGGCGCTAATGCATGGAAGACGTTTAGAAAACCCAAGGTTCATGTAGACCCCAGTACAGAACCTCTCTTCGGCGTACATGACGTGCTGTGAGTCAGTTGAATCTATCGAGTGATTAACAACCTTGCGTTTTCATCACCACAGAAGCCCACCCATTGGCACCATGAAATTCCAAGTCAAAAGGAAGAGAGCAAACTTAGTTTTAGGTTCAAGCATACAGTACATACTACGTTGATATAGCCACTTCTAGGAGGCTGGACAGACATGATTCATGAATATGCCGAACATGTGATCGGTTACGACGCCGTACTCAGTTCACTTGGTCCAAAACATGGCCAAACTGCGCTATTAATTTAGCAGTGGAGATTTGCGATCTTCAGGGATGGGCGGAACCCAGTCTAGGTGGTTGGAAATTGCAAGTTTTGATAGAAGAGGCCATAATATGATGCATCGGGGGGCTTCGGGGTGGGTTGCGGATTCCCCGAGTGCTTACAGCTGGCTCCAACCCATGCAGCGTCGTCCTGCATGCATCCCTCCATCCATATATCGACCTGTGTACCCACTATCAGCTGGGAATTACGTACATGGAACATCTAGAACCTATCCTCTGGCGAGCTCAAGCTCCGCTGGGCTCGAGCTTTAAATCTCCAGATTATGGGGAGATTCTGGGGGAATACGGAGGAGTCTGGAGTAATTACGTACAAGAACCCATCACTGCTCACCAGCCGGATGGAATAGACCTTGAAAAACCCGCATTCTGGCAAAGAATATCATTCATGATTCACGATGTGGATCTGAAGCTGATGAAACTCGGAAGAGAACCCGATTGCCACCCATATAATTGAGCTAGATCCTAGTCCGGTTGGTGCTATCTATTGGCTAAAACCCTGAGACACCCCTGTATTGCTGCGATTTCCCTCTTCTCCTGGCTTCCCTGCGTATCATTGAAGAAATTGCTCTTGAACGCTGTATTCGTCTGATATACATGCAGAGAAGATCTTGTCGGGGCACTGGTGGAAAATGGCTCACTGGATCATATGCCTATCTGCAGAGCATCTTTCAGGATCGAACCAGAGAAATACGAGCAGACGATAAGGAAGATCATCATCGTCAAAGTCTCGGCTCCCGTTCCGATGTTTCCAACGGCCCACAACGGCCGTGTCACCTCTTTTGCTACCATGCCCTAAGAAATGGCTCCATATAACGAGGTAACCTTGTCTACATAATGTCAGTGTGGAGCATGGGATGATAGGCAGCTCACTGTTGAGGCGGCGCAAACCTGTAGGGAGAAACGAACGTGGGGAAGGTCCTGGCGACGGGCAATGGTCTGACACAGATGCATGCTACCAGTGGACAGAGTCAAAGAGGTATATAAAGAGCGATGATCCTCTTGGCTTGTAATTAGTCTCGTACCTCATATTGATTCTACTTGAATACATGTGACATGAAACCGGTTGAACAATCCCCAGATATACCAACACAGCAATCTTCATAAACTGAACAGATCATCGATATGTCTGGTGGCAGCACCTCCTCTCAACACGAGAAGGAACCTCCTGGCGAAATGCATTCCGACTTGAAAAGGGCTGAAACTAAAGCCGAAAGTGTTATCAATGGCAATGTCGTTGCAACCAATGATCACCTCCAGCGACACATTGGTAACCGCCAGGTGCAATTGATTGCCATTGGTGGCAGTATTGGAACGGCAACATTCGTTTCAATTGGTACTGGTCTTGCTCGGGGTGGCCCTGTCAGCCTGGTCATCGCCTACACTCTCTACTCATGTATGCTCGGTCTTGTCAACAACTCCATGGCTGAGATGTCCGTGTACATGCCAACCACTGGAGCTTTCATTCGTCTGGCCGGACACTGTAAGTTGAAATATGAACGATGTGTGCTATCTTTGATACTGAACTTCCTGGGATGCTAATCAATGATTGTGTGGGCAGGGGTTGACGAGGCTTTTGGCTTCATGGCTGGATGGAACTTTTTCCTTTATGAGGCATTCTTGATTCCATTCGAAATCTCAGCCCTCAACCTTGTTCTGACTTACTGGAGAGATGACATACCCGTCGCTGCTGTCGTAGCAGCATGCATTGTGCTATACTTGTTTGTTCCTCATTTGACCCTATCTGGCCCTTCCATGCATCGTGTCCTCGTGACTAATTTGGTGCGAACGACAACAGCGCTATTAACGTTCTCACTGTGAAATGGTTCGGTGAAAGCGAGTTTTGGCTGGCCTCTGGAAAGGTCTTGCTCATTATCATATGTTTCAGCTTCACTTTCATCACCATGTGTGGTGGAAATCCTCAGCGTGATGCCTACGGCTTCCGGTACTGGTCCAACCCGGGTCCATTTGCAGAGTACCAATCAACCGGAGATCTGGGGAAGTTCGAGGGCTTCCTTGCTGCTCTCTGGAGTGCTGCGTTCACTGTCGTTGGCCCCGAATACGTTTCCATGGTTGCTGGTGAATGTGAGCTGCCTCGTGTCTATCTCAAAAAGGCTTTCAAAACGACGTATATTCGTTTCGCCATTTTCTTCATCGGAAGTGCCCTGACCGTGTCTGTTGTGATTCCATACAACGAGAAAACTCTTGTTGAGATTCAAAATGGCGGCTCCGGTGGCGGTACTGCTTCAGCCTCGCCTTATGTGATTGCGATGAATAATCTGGGCGTGTCGGTTCTTCCTCATGTTACCAACGCTCTGCTAGTTACTTCCATCTTTTCTGCAGGTTAGTATCCTCAAAACCACCCCTTTCCATGGTATTTCTATCTGCCGAGATGAAACCGTTCTATTGAGAATCGTCGACTAACAAGCCCAAGGCAACGCCTACACATACTATGGAAGCCGAAGTCTCTACAGTTTGGCCCTTGAAGGCCAGGCGCCGAAATTCTTCCGCAAGACGACCAAGCATGGTGTCCCTATTTACTGTCTCCTCGCGATTATGCTCTTCCCTTGCCTCGCCTTCTTGAACGTCTCCAGCAGCTCTGCAAAGGTCTTGACTTGGTTCACGAACCTCATCACTGCCGCTCAAATCATTGACTATGTCATCATCTGCATCACGTACATTTTCTTCTACCGAGCACTCAAGGCGCAGGGCATCGACCGCCGCAGTCTCCCCTACTATGGATACTTCCAGCCTTATTGCGCATGGATTAGTGGAATCTTTCTTTTCACAGTGGTATGCGTCTATGGTTATACTGTGTACAAGCCAGGACGTTTTGCGATTGATGCGTTCTTCACCTACTACTTTATGCTTCTACTCGCGCCAGTCACGTATCTGGGATGGAAATACGTCAAGAAGACGAAACTGATCAAGCCCGAAGAGGCAGACCTCATTTGGGAGAAGCCCAACATCGACGCATATGAGGCAATGTACGAAGGCGAACCCACTGGGTTCTTGAAGGATGTTGGAAATATGTTGAGGTTCCGACGGAAGAAGAATCAGAGCAACGCCTGAGGTGCTACTGACATAGAACTCCCCCCAACTCATTTCGCTTGTTTGGAATGATCTTGTTTCTAGACGAATTGATCCTGGTTAGGAATCTTGGCTGGGCTTGTCTCTGATGAAAATTTATACCCAAAGGGGAATCTAGCGAGAAAAGCCCGCTATTCCTAGTAAATGATATCGACAATCCCTTCAATTTTTATAGCATCTCTCATTCTCTGTATGCTCATGTGAAGTCCCGTATCTGTCTTTGTACTTAGCATTGACTTTCATTGTGCTTTTAGGGGCTAAGAGGCATTACTATTGAAGTAATCTCCTATTAAGCCCTGAAGCCAGGTGAAAGAGGGTAGATTGAAGTGTCATTTGACGAGCGGCTCGTCCCGACGGCAAGTGAATTATTAGTATAAAAGTTTACGGAGTTTTTCTTCTACATGGCTGCAACCCTGGGCTAGCAGAGCTTATTTTTAACCTTTCGTATTCATCTGTGCTGAGATGTCAGGTCTGTTATCCTCATTGCTGTTTTTTACTTTGAATCGAACTCTCTCATCCATGTCAGCACGTAAAAGAAATAGAATACCACTTATTAGACCACAACTACTGGCTTCTCTTAGAATGAAAAAAAAAGCACCATCTCTGGTTTCACTTTTGTCCCAGTCATTGCTATTGTTATACTTGTAAACATGAAGTGGGTAGCAGAGCCGTAGATACACATATCAAGTCCCCTGGTATCAGGCAGTTTCCTTGAGTGAAATCCAGCCCAAGCCATGGGAAACCCTAATTCGATGTCCGTCAAATAGATCGACATTTTGAAGTGCCTCAGCTCTGCCTTGGCTGTACTCCTTTGCCTTGATATGCTCCACATATCTGCAGCACACAACTGACTCGGGCGGATCATTTGATGCAAGCTGACATCAAGTCATCCTCATACGGCTAGCCCAAGGCTGAACGCAATTAATAGTAACTTTCAATTGACCGGTTCTGCCCAGAAGACGCCCGACTTTGCACTGCTTTGACCACTAGCTTTGATCCTGGAGCGGCACAGTGATCGACGGGGTTATTG